AATGTTGGGACAAGATCTTGCTAAATTTTCCAGCCGGGCCTGGGACTTAAGACCCTCCTGCCTCAGCCTCCCAGTGGCTGGGGTGACAGGTGTGTGTCATCACGTCGGCTGTCCTTGGTTTTGCAGAGTGAAAGGGGTTTTGGTTGATGCTCTGTATCTAAGGGAAGAGGTTCCATTTTCTGTAATCACCCAAGCGAAGAAATTCTTTTCATCCCGTGCTATTCCGAGTCGCCTCACAGAGGCGGCTGCGCTCAGGGATCTCAGGGGAAAAGCAGCAAATTCTCCGCGGTGCCGCCCACAGCCAGAGGTGGGAGGGTCGGGCCCTGGGGCTTCGAGCCTTTTCCTTTTTAACCCGGGGGGACTCACCTTTTTATCCCATGCTATTCCGAGTCGCCTCACAGAGGCGGCTGCGCGCAGGGATCTCAGGGGAAAAGCAGCAAATTCTCCGCGGTGCCGCCACCGCCAGAGGTGGGAGGGTCGGGCCCTGGGGCTTCGAGCCTTTTCCTTTTTAACCCGGGGGGACTCGGCTGGGTCTCGACTCGCGTGGGCCCCGCTGGGGGACGGGCAGGCAGCAAGCGGCTGAATCAAGGGCTGCAAAGCACACACCGTCTCCCGTGGTGAGCGGACACGTTGTGGAGCAGGAGCGAAATCAGGGCGCATTTTAGACATTTAGTCAATGCTGACCTGGTGGCGTGAAAATCAGAAAAAAGAAAAAAAAGCTGGACGTGTCGCTGCGCCTGTAATCCCAAAACTCAAGAGGCAGAGGCAGGAAGATCGCTGCGACTTTGCGGCCAGCCGGGCTACCCAGACCCTGTCTCAGAAAAATCAACAAAACACTGATTAAAAGATAGTAATGTTCTGTCACGTGACTAAATAGTCAACAAACACTGCATAGAATATTAAAGAAAAAGAAAAAGAAAGATCCTGGAATTGGAATCGTGGCCTTGATTCTCAATCAGAGACCATTTTATTTTATTGGTATTATTATCACTGTTACATTTTTATCACTAGATCCAGAGCCCAGGGCCTGTGCACCGAGCTACATCTCCACCCCTTTTTAAATTTTCTTATTTTGAGATGGGTTCTTGTTAAGCCACTAGGTAGCCCAGGTTGGGCTGGAACTCGAGACCCTCCTGCTTCAGCCTTCCTGAGTGCCGGACTGCGGATGTGTGCCGCCAACGCCAAACTCAGAATTCCTTCTACGTCACCGTTCTTTGCTTCACGGCTGGACTTTATCACTGGGCCCCAGCAAGGGTCTGGTACACAGCGGACTGGCGAATACTCACTGAAGGGATATATTAGGCCGGTTCAGTCCATATCGAAATCAAGAACATTGATTAAAAATCTGTAATAATATAGCCGGGCGTGGTGGGGCACACGCTTGTGATTCCAGCATTTGGGAGGCCGAGGCGGGAGGATCACTGCGAATTCAAGGCCAGGCCTGGCTACACAGTGAGCCCTTGTCTCAACCAAGAAAGAAAAAAAGTAATAATATCAAATATTTCGGTATTTAATAAAACTTAGGGTCAGCTGATGGTCAGCCTTCACGTGTCTTGGAGAACTTGGCAAAGCCCAGCCGTTTGCTTTCACCTGAGATGAGCGTTCCGTGCTCAACATGGGGGCCCCACCCTGCAGCCCCTCACTTCCGGTTTCCGCGGCGAACACCGCCGAGCCCTCCCTAGCCTGGCTTCCCTCACAGCCCTGGCCTCGCTTAGCTTCAGGATACCGGGTACCACGCTCCTCCTTGGCATTTGCTGCAGTCTGCATGCATCTTGCTTATTTCCTTGTTTCTCTGTTCCGCTGGTTGTTATAATTTGTTTTTCTTGCTTTGAGACAGGGTCTCACTATGTAACTTGGGCTGGCCTCAAACTTGGAACCCTCCTGCCTCAGCCTCTCGTCCTGTTTTCATGCTGAGAATAAATGTTTTCTGTTCTGTAGGGAAAGACTCCGGGCCAAACGCAGTAGGCAGCCTATTGCCCTGCTCAGTGGATATTTATTTGCCTAGGAAGCATAGCCTTTAATAGGAAATCAATTTTTATTTTTATCCTATTTATTTTTGGTGCCGGGGATCGAACTCTGGACCTTTCACTTGTGAGGCAGGTGGTGAGCTGAGTCCCTGGCCCTCAATTTTTAAATGGATGCCTTTGTCTCTTCTTTTTTTGAGACAGGTCTCGTGTAGCCCAGCACAGGATGGCCTAGAACTTGCAGGGATCCCCCTGCCTCAGCCTCCCAAGTCCTGGGATGACAGGCTGGCAAGGACTCCTTCACCCCAGCCCTCTTGTCTGGGGGTGGTGTTGGCCTCGCTCTCCTCGCAGTGACCTGGACTGTGGGGCGGGGCCTACCGTGACTCCACCTCAGGTCTGAATGTGGGTCCGGCCAATCAAGCTATGACTGAAATGCTCCTGTGGGATGCGGAGGGGAAGCAGATGCCTGGGTGTCCGTGCAGCGTGGTGACACTGTGGCCTGGGCCTCCCCTTCTGGGCAGCTGCCCATTCCTCAGGGCCACACCTGTGTGGGCTTTGTGGCAGGGTAGGAGTTTTCCAGTGCTGGAGAAGACAGGAGTTGGGGATGGAGAAACATTATTCAGTGTCACTAATGAATTTCCATTTTATCATTTAGCTTTTTTCCAACTGGCGAAATGCATGAGGCAGATCGACACATATTGATACAGATTACTTGCCGAGATATAGTATTAAATTGTGTATAGCTGTTAGGGTGCAGTGGTCCATGCCTGTAATTCCAATACTCTGGGAGGCTGAGGCAGGAGGATCTCTGGTTCCACCATAGTCTGGGCAACTTCATGAGACCAGACGAGGTCGGGGGATTGTGTGTGGTTGTCAGATGTAAAGCAGTGTTTCAGGGGCCACGGAGAATGGGCGCGGAAGGGTGCTGAGGCCACGGAGTGACCCAGACCCAGAAGGTGACTCTGCAGTTCTTTTCTTGGCTAAAAAATGATAAATTAATATTTGAGTTTAAAGTTCATTCTAGAAAACAAATACTGCCAGTTGTTGTTTTTTTTTTTAAGTATTCAAGGGAAATGCAAAGTAGGCTTGGAGCCTTTCTCACACAGCAGGTTGGGCAACATTCAGAGGACTTCCTTATTTCAACCCTATTCTATTGCAGTCCAGTCTGGCTTCGATCCTCCTGCCTCAGCCTCCCGTGTGCTGGGATGAGGGCATGGCACCATCACACCCGCCTCATAGCTCTGAGTTGTATGAATGGTGCCAGTTAGACCTTCTAGTAACGCCTGCCGGCGTGCAGGTATTTATGTTACAGCTTGCCTAGGAGCTTGGCCCTGCTGGATCTCACTGCGTATTCCCGGCACCCAGGAGACTGAGGCAGGAGGATGGCAAGTTCAAAGCCAGCCTGCTGAGCGGCACCATGAGAACTTGTGTCAAAACAACAAAAGACAACCAGGAAAAGACTCTTTGGACAGCTGAAAATTTTTAAACAAGAGATAGTGTTGAAAGCACATCCATATTTTAAATTTTAGAAATGTCTTATCCGACCGTAAGATTTGAAAAGGATTCAGCTGTCTCTTAGTTTGTGAGAAATCCAGCAGGCACCTTCGTTACTTTGAAGCAACAGCGCCGCCTGGTGGCTTCCCTGCGAATAGGATAACTTCCTTGATTGGTGTCTTCCGTCAAATTAGCAAATTCTGGGACAGAGTTTAACAAATCACGGAATACGCGTGTCAGAAGTAACTAACATTTATGACATCCGTCTCGAGAACTTATTTTATAATTTAACAAATATTTGCTTAGCGCCTATGCACAAGAATAAAATTGCCAGCAAAATGGAAAATACTCGCACCCAGATTCTACGTCTCAGTGCATGTAAAGCAATCAGGACATTTAGTGAGCTGTACTAAACCTGAACCACCACCTGAGGGGGATGTGCCCTGGGTCACAATTCGACGCAGGACGGAATCTGAGCAAAGACTTGAAAGGATAAAGGTCCCGGGCGTGGTGACGCAGGCCAGCGATCCCAGCACTCAGGAGGCGGAGGCAGGAGGATCGCCATGAGTTCCAGGCCAGCCTGGGCTACACAGTGAGACCGTAAAAAAAAAAAAAAAAACCAAAAACCAAAATAGAAAAAAGCCCTCGGACTCGCTTTCCCCATCTGCCCTGCTCCCACGCACATTTGGCTGTCAAGATCTACACAGCTTCACAGGGCGGCCCTGGAGGGCCCCGCCTCGGCAGCTCTAACCCGCACCGAAGACCCGGGGAGCCTCCAGGGTCCCGACTGGGAAAACAGCTCCGGCCCGCGAGCCGACTGGGAGCTGCTGCGCATGCGCCAGGGGTTCCCATGGTTATGACGTAGCTGCGTTTCCTCGGGTGGAAGCTGGCAGAGTCGGGACAACGCGCAGCGCCCGCAGCCCTGAGAGGCCTGTGCCTGCGCCTGCGCCCTACGCGTCGCTTCCTCGACGCCGTACTCGCATTCCGA